TAGGTTTTTACGTTGCAAAAACATGTTGTGGATGAGTGAAAATTTTGAACTCTAAAATTTAGAGGAAATTTCTGAAAATGTATGAAAATGGAAGATCAGTGTTTTATATTTTTGATATCTTGTAAAAATGAAAAATTAGTTATTATTCTTTGCATATTCTTTAGAAAAAAGGTTCTTTTTTTTAATCGCATTCAATAATAAAAATTGCAGAAAATTACAGACTAGAATTGTTAACATTAAGTTTTTATAGATCTTACTGTTGGAAAAAGTGCAAATTTATTTAATTGATAAATAACTTTTAGAGCAATTTTGGTTTTTGGAAGAGATAAAATATTTTTTGATCAGCATCATCAGTTATTTTATATGTTCTGAACACAATATTTGTTTTAACTGCAACATAAATTTATTACAATAATCTGATCTTTTAAGTTTTCAATAAATAAATTAAAAGCAACCACCAGTAAAAATTCTTTGGCATCATAAATCACTAATAAAATTATTTTGTAATAATTATTGGCATTGAAGGTGAAAGGAGAACAATATATCTTCTCCCTTTTGCGTAATAATTTCCCTGAGAGCTACTAAAGGATATTAAATTTTGAAAATACGACACAACACACGATATTAAATCATCACCCTCGCCGAAACTGCCACTCCAGCGTGCGCCGAAATTTAATAAAATCCCTCCTTCCCATTCCTGAAACGGAAAAACGTGATCATTGATCAGTTGCCTCGGAAAACCAAATTCAGCAGCAGTTTTCCAGCAAAGCCCCGCGGATAAGGAAAACGTCGGCAACCAATCATGGCCGGACAAGGTGAGCTTTGATCGAGGCTGTGCAACCTGTTCCACCCCTGGCTGCTTTGAGATGAAATTTTCGGCCGCTAAGCCGCACGCCAACCCCAAATTCTATTGTAGCCAAGCAAAATATTGGTCAAACAACGTCCTTATAATGGTGCGCCCGACCCGACATGTTTCGTAATAATGCGCCCTCAGGGCTGCCTATTCACCAGGGGTAGCTGCACCGCAAAATTTTGTCTTGCGCGCACGGTTATTAGATAAATGCGAACGTGCATTATCATTGTTTGCAAAAAACGCGCCCGAGTGTCAACACGGGCACGCTGGTTTTTTGTTTGCGTGGCGTCGCCGGTCCGGCCGGGCAACTTTGCAAATATATATAAACTCGCTCGCAGTGAATTTAATGCGAGATCGAGCTGCTGCTGTTGCCGCGTCCGGGCAAAAAGGCGAATTTATTAATTTCGCAGCGGCTGGCTTTGTCTCCGCCAGAGTAATTAGCCGGTGCTGCAAACATCCGCAACGCAGGTGATGAGGATATTAATTACGGCGGCTTTTTGTGGCTTCCACGGTTTCTGCCTCTGACCGCGACCGTTGGCTTCGATTAATACCATTTTGTTCGTTTCACGCACATGTTGATTGCAATTTAGTTTTATTTACAGTGTCGCGGAATCGATTTTAACTATAAGCTAATCAAATGTGTGTTTTACAGCTTCCAATTTCATTCAGCAACCCGCAAATTCGCTTTGTATTTCACTGCAGTATTTAATTCAAAGGAAGGAAAATAAATTTATATTCAACAATAACGTTTTCTGTGACGTGCATGATATTTTTTAGCAAAATTTTGTGACCCTGCTTTGTGATTGTTATTTTGTATGAATTATCTTACATTTCTTGTCTTTTCAATTGATATGGTATAATTTATTTTGTATCTGAATCTGCCAGAAAAAAAAACAGAAAAATTGATTACACTTTCAAATAAGAGTTTCTTACTAAATTTTTAATTAACATACATAAAAAAAAAGAAAAAAGCTTTTGGAACAGCTCGAAAACTGATCATTTTGCATATATCTTTTCATTTTAAATTTCAGATCAATATTCGATACTTTCAAATTGGTTATCGACGAGTACGAAAGGAGACGTCTGCTGTTTTCTGATATTTTTATCGTAGGTCCCGAATTGGCCCAGTGAAGCCGCAAACGAGCGAAAATAGCAACAAAAAATAACGAGCCTGTCGCTAGGCAATGCTGAGAGAGCTCTTTTCTCTCTCCGATTACAATAACTAATAATTGCGGCCGGCGGCGAGGAAACGGCGAATTTCCATCTTCGGCAGGCGACGTTCCCCAAGGGCCCGCCACCGAGAACGGCAAAGGAATCTTTTCCGATTGCTATGTCATCGTTTGTTTCGTCTTCTTTCTTTCTTTCTCTTGCCAAATAAGAATGGAGGAGAAAGAAAGAAGAAGAAGCTCAAACACGAGTTAAAGAGGCGCTCAGGGCCCTCGTTTCTTTATTTCTTTCGACTTTTTAACGGCCGCGGGCCACATTATTTTAGTACGAGACGGCGATCATCTTGCCTTCGCCAGGCACGACCGATAGCAAAACCGTGTTCATAAAAAGGAACGATCCTTGTTGCTGCGGGAACGTTTCCGGATAAAATCGATGCAATCACGCACACAACGCAGTGGCAAATAATAAAAAAAGAAATATAGAATAAAAATTCTCGCACGAAACACGCTCTGCGGCAGTTCCAATCAGCGAGTAAATTTAATTCTGCATCTGGTCTATAACAATAAGATCTGTTGGGGTGCGCTGAAATTTGTTCGCAGACGAGAGAGATATTGAATTTTTTGCCTACTCTCTTTCTTGGCTCCTGCTGCGATAACTGCCGCGCCGTTCAGAAGCAAAAGATGGTGAAAATGGAGCGGTTCTGTTTACAGTGCGAGCCGGAGCGACTCATTCTCCACCCCTAGCAGAAATGAGAAATATTATCACTCGCACTTCTCACTCAGCCAGAGACAATTTCACAGTGGAGTGTTTGATGGATTTCTTAATGCACTCGAACGTGCTCCTCTAGAAAGAGGAAAACTCCGATAAAACCTCTTGCAAAATCAACGTATAAACTATTTGTTTTAATAAATTTAAGTAGTAGTTTCAAAATGAATTGGATAAATAATAATAATAATTTGAAATGGAAATGAAGAGATCGGGCTTTTCCTCGTTGCAAAAAATTGTTTTTATTCAAAAACAAACGGCTCTACCCGTTTCGGTTACGGTCTGCGACCCTATTTCACGACCAAGAAAAAAATACAAAAAATCAGCATATGGAAAAAACACCGCATTTTAAAATAAAAATTAAAATCTTAAAAACTAACAAAGCTAGCTCATTCTTGTATTAGTCAGCGAGCAGCGCGTTTGCTCATGAAATAGGTTGGTACCTGAATTTGTTAGTTTTTAAGATTTTTATTTTTATTTTAAAATGTGGTGTTTTTTCAATATGCTGATTTTTTCATTTTTTTTTCTTGCTCATGAAATAGGGTCGCAGACCTTGACCGAAACTGGAAGAGCCGTTTGTTTTTTGAATAAATACAATTTTTTGCAACGAGGAAAAGCCCGATCTCTTCATTTCCATGATCATCTCCTCGAGTGTCAACTTCTTCAAACAGTAATTTGAAATTTAATAATAATAAATTTTAAACAAATTTTTTCTTTACCAATTAATTGTTAACAATGTAATGTAACAATTTGGACAAAAGTTATAATATTTTTTGCCAATAATTGTCCATTTGATATTAATATTATAATTTTTACCAACTTTCTGAGCAAAGGTAAGAAAATTAAGCTCTTATTTCCGGCTAAATTTCAACATTGCATAAAATATTATGGAAAAATTAACACCATTGCTAATTGTACAATTATTCAGTTGATAATTGAAGAGAAGTTGAAACACGAAAAGATACAAATCTTTTGCCACCAGGAAAATGGTGATGTTTCCCAGGAAAAGCTTGTCACATCTACCAATTTGAAGTTATGACGACAGACTATGGAGTTCTTTTCCATCCTCTCAAAATTGGATTTTTAGGTCTTATGAGCTCAAGGTACCGTACCCTCTTTGTGTGCACCGGATCGATCGTGAGTGCACATCAAATTGGAGGAAATTGCAACACGACGGTGTGCGAATGAGGCCGGACGGAAAAGAAGACGGCAGCTGCACAAAGGACCATTAATCATTATGCGGCCTTTGTCTCATCAAGAAAGACAAATTAGGCGCAATTTGTCATGATGGAGGATGAATTCAAGGGCTGTCGCTACAATTTAACTATTAAGTGCAATCACAAGGGCTGCAATTGAGCGCGCCGAGGGACGGATAAGAATGGGGGTGCGCGCGCGGCCGGCAAAGAATTGGACGTTTCTATTATTAGATCCGAGTGGCCTAAATTCCTGCTTAGAATCCCAGATAACCCGGCGAGCGGTCCAAGGCGTCGCCGACCGCAAACATGCATCTTCCAGAGATTAGATTTCGGCGGTGCGGCTCCCCGGTAATAGAGAGGAAGGGGTTGCCTCTGCAGCTGCGAGTGAAACTTTGCAGTTCTCACAACGCCGGCCCGACGTGGTCTGCATGAAGCGCCAACTTTTTCTCCCCATCAGAATAACTGACGTGTGTGACAAGTTCACGAAGCTACCGGAATTTTTCCCAAGTTCTTATGTTGACTGTGAGTTGAAAATAAGTCTGCGTCACTTCAAATAATGGAGTTGAGAATTTGCTGATGGCATTTCAATTTTTGTCTGAAAGTTTTTAGAAATACTTTGTTACTTTTTCATGAATTTCAATAATGAGCCATTTCCTCCAAGCCAGTTTTTTCTTATAAAATTATCGATTGATGTTAATTTTTAATTTATAAAAATCAATTTAGATTAAAAACTGAATGTTCACTAAATAATTTTAATATGGTAAGAGTATGTTTGAATAACTATACATCTTATGATTTCATGGCAAATTCAAACAGTCTGTAAAATTTTATGTTTTTTCACCAGATAAGTCAAGCAAAAACAGAAAAAATTAATATGGATTATCCTTCTTTCCACTTCTTTCATTATTTTATTATTTAAAAATTTAAATTAATAACAGATTTAACAAAAAACAAATATAATATTGTATAATAAAAATGATAAAAAAATAAAATAATTATAAAACATAATAAAGAACAAAAACTCAATTATCTAAGGCCCACTGCATTAGATAAGGTCTTTTTACTCGGAAATGTTTGCAAAATTATTGCTAGTGGTGGTGCCATTTTATCCAACAAATCCATTTCTTAAATAAATTGTTTTCAACAATTGAAATAAACAAACAATGTACTGCAACAATGTGGACAAATAAAAAAAATTATAAAATAAAATCTATCAGATTTTTACCACAATTTAATATCTATTTTCGTCGCAAAAGCTTTCATTATTGTAAATAGCTTCAATATTATTTGCATTTCTCCTTTGCTTGCTCCACGTACATGAAAAGTGGCAACATGACATTTGAACTGGATTTTTACGCTTATATATGTAATAAGACGCTCCTATCACAACTAATGTGACCGGAAAGATTAAAATTAAGAGCCAAACGCACCAATCAATGCTTTTCAAAGTCAATGCTTTCTCTTCCGCCTTCTCCAGAGACTCGTCAGTGTCAGGATAGGATTGTTCAGTGTCTTCCTCGCCTTCTGTTGTATTTACAGAGTCACACCTGGCAACTTTCATCTGCTTGAAAAATCTCTTGACCGATTTGCACTTCAGAATTCCAACCACACAACGACCGCACGCGTCTCGGTCTTTTAAGACGTTTTCAAGTAAGGACAGCTTTTCGCGACAGTAAAATTTTCCAGCTATATTATAAATCAAATCAATCAAATTAAATTGCCTTTAAATGTATATTCAACTTGCTTGAGGAAAGGCTGAGTTCGAGGTAAGCGCTGCATGTAAAGTCTCTATTTTCCAAATCTTCGCATGACGCTTCCGGAGAGCATGGCTTGCATTTTTGCTTCATTCTATCGTCATCACACTTTGAGCTCACAATCGAACCAGCTAATTAGATAATAAAAACTATAGGAAATAAATTAATATCTACCTGTGTGAAAAAGGACGATGGAAAATAGGAAAATGTGGAGAATTGTAGCCATTATCTTGCTTGCGGATGTGCTGGCCGGAATGTGAGATAATTTTGCTAATCGAGCTATTGCTTGTGTTTCTTATCAACTGGACGTGGCGGTTTGATATTTCCGCATGACGAACTGTTTGAATAGTTTTTATATTTTCAAGAAATTCCAGTAAAATATATGCTCATTTCAATGGTTATTTTTATTTAGTGCGGCACTAGTTTTCTCTTCACAGCAACAACACCATAACAAAAAAGACCGTTTTTTTAACCCACAGTAAATGCTCAAGCCGATGAGGACAAGTAAAATCACTATTATAATTTCAATCAGGAGCCACCAGTAACTCCAGTGCAGCCCATTATCATCCTCAACTTCATTGCTGATGGAAAGTTCAGGGGTCGAAGTTGTCGGAATTTGAACTGCGGCTCTGTTCATCGTGGATTTTTGAACGGTAGCTTCTGTGGCTGTTGCACATTGCAGGATTTTTTCTTTCCTCTCAATCTCTTTGAGGAAATCGCATTTTACTATTCCAACCGTGCATTTATCGCACCGATCATTATTTTGATTAATTTTCTGCACAGTTACGTCCAATGACGCTGGTGTGCAAAAAAATTTACCACCTGTTTGGAAAATGAAATTAATATTTTTAGTTAATTTGTATTTTTTTTTGTCTTGCTTGCTGATAGAGAAAGTTTGAAATACTGGTCGCTGCTGCAAATAGGCGAATCGATAGTTGGCGATGCCTCGCAGGAATAATCCGACTTGAGACAAGGGTTGCATTTTTTAATCAGCATATCATCCTTGCAAAATTCGCTTATTGACCACGACAAGCACCCTATTAAATGATTTGATGAGAAAAAAAAACATTTAAAAAAAAGAAATGCAAATTTTACCATTCAAAAGGCCTAAAAGAAAGAAGATTGCTAGGAAATTTTTACCCTTCATTCTAGAGCCGTGCACTTAACGATTTTTTGTTATTAAATGAAGAGACAACAGTTGGCTTATCTCTCGAAGTGCGGTTAAATATATCCGTCTGCGTTAGAGTTTTCAGCACATGAGAAGCAGTTCTTTATATATACTGAATTAAAATTAAAATGAACACAATCTCTCCAGATTTCAAACCGTTTTTCAACTTAAAAATATATAAAGATTTTTAGTTTTATTTGTAATTAGCGTCTACAGATTCATAAACATGATAAAAGTCATTCTCAATCATTTCTATTTGGATTGGCGGGTCGGAAGTAGCTGGGGCTTCGACTTTCAGCGGTTCGTGCTTCACAAAGCTCCTTCTTGAGTATTTTTGGACGCAGCAAAACACGCAAGCGACAATCAGAAGGGTGTGCATCGCAGATGCCACGGCCACAGCAACGTAATACCAGGGCGAGTCGTGATCATGGACCTTTGAAAGGTGCTTTGCCAGCGACAAACTTTTTGAATAGGAACTGCAGTCTTGAATTAGGAACCCGTCACATTTATTTAGTAATGTCCTGACTGCATATTTAGCTTCGTTGTCCATTCTGTTAAATGAAATACAGCAGATCGCTCCATCTAATTGTATAAATACGAGAAGAGCTTTAAGAGGAGCGGAAATATTAAAAAAAATTAATAGTACCTTCAAGTCCAAATATGCCGTATCTGTCTGAACCATTATTACAGGCGTATGCAGTTTCATTAAACATGTTTTGGTAACAAGGTGTACAGTTCTGCTTCACTGTGCTGCAATCTGGATTAATCTGATTACCTGCTAGAATTAAAAATTTTAATTTATTAAAAGCTAATTAATCCACATACAATTTCGTACCCATACAATATCCGTAGGAAAAAAATGTGAGCAAGAAAAGCAATCCAAGAGTTTGATGAAACATTTTCTAGTTCACCGACCTTGTCAAAAATATTAAAATCTGGCAGGAATTTAACATAAAGGTTGAGAATGATTTTTATCCAAGCAGATTCTTCCTATTCCGGCAGCTGACTGAACTAATTATGAGGAAAAATGAGTGCCCTTGTGACGTCACGGCAAAAACCAAGAAGTGGTTTAGTCATTTCCTTGCTCTGATACAAAATATTAAAAATAATTTTTATTATGTTCATGTTCTAATTTTGATTTCCATGTAAAAATTTGTTTGAGATTTATTTTGGACTATTTTATTGCATAATTTTGCTTTTGTTATTTTCTGAGCGAGGTTTTAACACTCCAAGTGCAGCCGGCAAATTAACCCTTGCAGAGACAATAAACACATTTGGGAGGATTAATTAATTTGGCGCGCCAGGACGCGTAAGTGGCGCACATTTGGGAGTGCAAATGGGCAAAAGTGCATTAGGCAGGTAACGTGATTACGCGCGCCAGGCGCCGCCGCGCGCGCATTATTTGTGCAGCGAGTAAATATGGCGTTGACCCAATTACGCTATCGCCTAGACAGTTACAGCCCGCGCGTAATTAAAGGGCCCGGCAATTTATCGCTCCGGCTCTGATTGGATTATATCAATCGCCTGTGCAGATCGCAAACAGAACTCGCGTCCCTCAGACGGAGAGAATAGAAGATCGGGTAATGCGCATCTCGGCACCTGGGAGCGTTTGATAATTGTTTCCCATCGCGGCCTCCTCAAGCACCAGATGATTTTCAATTATCAGAATTGATCGGAATTAAAATAGGATAAATTTAAACTAGACGATGGCTGTGAATCATTTGACAACAAATTTACTAAAAAATATTAAATTGAAATTTTTTATCTTTATCTTTTATGTTCAATAGAAATAAATGGATTATTGGTTGCGTTTTTACCAAATAAAAATTGATTTTAAAAGCTGATTTTTGTTATTAAATATCTTTCCTCACTACTTCATCTTTAGGCTTGAAAATTTCAGTTTTAAATCTTATATCTAGGATATCTAGCAAAATTTGGAAATAATTATTAGCTCTCACTTTAATTTTTAATCATTTTTTTTTAAATTAGTAACTTTTGACTACTCTTTCATTGGTTTCATTTGCTATTTTTAATTAGTTGGAGAACATTGGGCGTGGCTTACAATTAATTTTCGCAATATAAAATTTTAAAATAATACTCATAAAAAGAGCCGGATTTTTCCTGGTAATGAATAAAAGCTGCAAAAATTTTTAACAGTAAAATCAGGCAAAAACGGGCATTTCTTTAAAATTCATATTATCTACAAACCGGCGATTCATTGTAAATTTTGTACTTTTATGGTTTAATAAAACAAGGTTTAGTTGTTTTTTTATATCCTAATCTAGCAAACGATACTGATTTAAAAAAAATATATATATTATATTTGATCGATCAAATTATTTTCTGATCAACAGCATTTCCAGCAATTACTTAAATTTATGCAATTTTCTACTCATTGTCAGTTCAATTGAAGCAACATTTCTGCATTAATTTTAAGGTGATTCTTCTACGGGGTTTTGGCCAAAACTAGAAATGCTGCAATGGATTCCAAATGATTCAGATTATAATATTTGAACTATTGTGTGTTAATGTTTCAAGTATAAAAATTATTTATTTTCGCCCCATCGCTTCTTTACAAGGGGCCAAAGTTATGTCCAAAGGTCGAAAACGGGTAAAAATCCACGTATTTCTACCTTCTTATGCTCGTAACTTTCCGTTTTGAAAGTGAACTATATTTTTCTATATAGCTTTTCAATTCGCAAGATGTTAAAGTATCCAAAAAAAGCAAAAAAAGTGTATCTCTTCTGTCATTTTATCACCCCCTGAGAAATCAAATTTTTTTAATTTTAATGGCCCATTTAAATGCTATTTCGTTGAGGGTGATAAAATGACAGAAGAGTTATAATTTTTTTGCTTTTTTGGATACTTTAACTTCTTGCGAATCGAAAGCTATTTAGAAAATTATAGTTTAATTTGCAAAATGGAAATTTACAAGTATGAGGAGGTAGAAAAACGTGGATTTTCACCCGTTTTCGACCTTCGGACATTACTTTGGCCCCTTGTAAAGAAGCGATGGGGCGAAAATAAATCATTTTTATACTTGAAACATTAACACACAATAGTTCAAATATTATAATCTGAATCATTTGGAATCCATTGCAGCATTTCTAGTTTTGGCCAAAACCCCGTAGAAGAATCACCTTAAATGAAAGTATTTTTAAAAAAAAAAAACTGGCTGTACTCACCCTGAAACTCCTTCCTGGCGGCGCTGACGTTGGTCACAATGTTGGCCACGTGTCCGAGCACGCTGGCGAAGAGCAGCAGTCCGAAGAGCAGCTGCGAGATGACGAACAGGTACTCGGACTTGCTGCGCGGCCGGGGCAGGTCCCCGATCGTGGTCAACGCGAGCGTGCACCAATAGTAGCTCTGCAGGTACTGTTTGACCACGTCAGCACTTTCGGAATCACCAAACACCCAGTTCTTGCTGCCGAAGCCGTTGTTCTTACAAATTATGTGGTACAAACACCCGTTCCAATGGAATATCACTAACAAGTAATGTATCAAACTAGTGGCACGAAACAGGTTGGGGTAGTTGGTGTGCCGCTCGGTGCGGTCCATGAACGCCCAGAAGCGGTAGATCTTGACCAGACGGAACGACCTGAGGATGGAGTTGAAGCCGATGGACAGGTAGAGAAAGTCCAGCGGCAGCAGACACAGGCAGTCGATGTAGAACGTGGTCGAGTTCATGTAGTGGTGCCGCAGCTTGGTCGAGTCCGTCTGCAGCACACCGTCCTCGAGATAACCCGTGCGGAAGTGCACCGCGATGTCCAGCAGGTACAGAAAGTCCGAAAAATAGTCCAGGCAGAACCAGTACAACAGCGAGTCCCGGGTTATCTCTTGGAACGCAAACCTGAAAAAAAAATGAAAATATCTATCATTAATCATAATTTATTCTTTAGTGATCAATAAAAAGTATTGAAAAGTTGGAAATAAAAAGAAGAAAGGGTTATCAATTAGAAATAATGTAAACAAGAATTATGTTTTTATTATAATTTTTTTTGGAATTACTTTTTTATCATTTAATTAAGTTGGAGAATCAAGTAAAATAAAGAAAGACAATGACAAAAAAATTTATCTTTTCGAAATTGTGAATTCAATCTTTATATCTTGCTAACAATCATAAAATTAGTTTTATTTTTAGAAATAAAATAAGGACATATTATGCATGTAATAGAATTTGAGTGTGTGAAAAAATAAAAAAATATAATTAAATCAAAAATGAGAATCAAAATAATAATTATTAATGGAATTGCAAATTAATGCAGCTAAAAAAATTTATTATTTTTAAATATTATAATTAAAATACTGATTATTTATAGTTTTTCATCATATGTATTAAAAAAATTTAAATAAAACGCATTAAAATGCAAAAACTACGTGATTATCCTAATCATCTATACAAATACTATAATAATTTTATAATTTTTACATAAACTGACCTGTAGATGAGCACCCAAAAATTGTAGAGGAAGGCGAGTGAGACGACCATGGACCAATAGTAGCACAGCCTGCCTGCGGGGTCGAAGACGAACGACCAGCGGCAACCTATGCCCTTGATGTGGCCGCTGCTGGAGCCGCCCCCGCTGCCCCCGCAGCCGTTGGGGGCGCCCGGTCTGCCAGCGCCGCTGCCTCGGTGGCTGATTTGCGCGGGGGGCGCGTGCGTCTGCGAGTGGGGCAGGTGTTGGGGGGCGGCGGGGGCGTGGGGCGGCTCCCACTTGTCCAGCCGCAGCCGCGACCGGATGTCCCGGCGCCGCGCCTCGCGGGTCTTGCGGCTGATGTCGAGCTCGGAGGAGGCGGCGTTGGAGCGGTTCGCGTAGCCCCCGGACACCGAGTCGCGCGAGTAGCGTTTGTCGCCGCTCAACGCGCGACACGTCACCAAGTCGATGGGCGATTGTCTGGCCGCCGCCGGCACCGCCACCGACGGCGCCGCCCCGGCCACTCGCGAAGACACTGTGTCCACGTTTCGGCTGTTGTAGTGGCGCACGGGGCTCGAACTCGAGTCCAGCCGCGTGCCCGAAGAACTCAGTCGCTCGTTCAGTCCGCCCCTGCCCGAGTTTGTGATGATTCCTGCAACAACACAAGATTAAAAAATTAGTTTCTGTTTCTATTTAAATTTTAATTATGCATTTATTTCGTTTTTTTACATATACGTATATAATTTTTGAATTTTTGTAACATTTGCACATTCATGTGATTTAATTAGTGCAATTTTTCATCTGATTTCATCAAACATCAATTTTTATAGTTTGTTAGCTCGACTTAAAGTTAATATGATTATTTATTTATTAATAATTATAAAATTCCTACCACCCAGAACCATTAATATTTACTTATCAACAGAGATCCACAAAGCGTTGCAATGCAAACATCTATATAAAAAAAACCTAATTAATTGCAACAAGAAATTAGACTTCATTGAAAATAAAATACAAACTCAAATTAATTATTTACTGAAAAGCAAGAAAAAACAAATTATTAAATATAATATTTAAAATTTGATGAAAAATTGTATCTAAACATTTAAAAAATTTTATTTTAATAAACTATTATTAATATATATAATAATAGCATTTTTGCATTTAATATATAATATATTAAATGCAAAAATGCTTAATTAACTTTTCAATTTTCTCAAAAATTATCACTTTTAGTTCCAAAGGATTCCATGTCAACTACAATATGAACTTCCAAAAACATTTTTTTCTAATAATTTTACGTATTTAATTGTTAAATTTTTTTAATTTAATTACTATTACGCGATTTTAAAATATCAATTAAATATATATATATGTACTTATTGTTGATTTTAAATTTCATTATATAAAATAAACCCGCTCTAGTTGCAATTATTACAAAATTTATTATATTCATGTTTAATTTAATCAAAAAATATCATATTATGTCAAAATAATTTACATTTTATGGTCTTTGCAGTGGCTTAAAATTTCTCATGGAATTTATTTATTTAATTTTATTTTACTAGTGAATTACACAGGCAAAAAGCAAGTTTGCAAACGCGTTGCTCTGTGCCCTTCCTTCTACTCGGTCGCACTAAAAGCGAAACCCCAGCTTTCAGGTCCCGCGCTTATACACACACACGCTTTTGCTCAAATTCCTGATGACAACACGCGGCCGTTAAACTTGCTTGCGCGGAAAGCGGGCCGCACATTCTCTAACCCTTTTAGCTGGGCCGGTGCGGCATGCCAAATAGCATAAGCAAAGCAGTATATCAAATTCCCAAAAGTCTCTCACACACTTTGCCACTGCCAAATTATTTAATGCGTGGTCTGCACCTAGAAAAATCATCTCTGGTCCTGATGAATTATTAAAATTGACACGAAAAGGACCAAAATCACGCAGGTTTCCAGAGTTTCTGGTGAATTATGCAGTGTGAAGGCAACACTTTGCAACTTTTAAAAGCTCACACGCCTTTCAAAAAGATGTTTGCTGAATTATTCAAGGTGCGTCGGTGCTTCCAAGTTATGCCAAAACGGGCTAATCTCTGCTAAACCTTTGAATTTTTACTCAAAAAAACTTCCTACTTTCAAATTGTATGAGTAAAATATATATTTATGTTTGAAAATTCTTCTCCTTCCTGTTAATTAAGGAAGTTTATTTCCTGGCAAGAAGTCGTAAAAGCAGGTGCTCCCCTCGCTCTCTGTGATGATTAGCGGAATTCTGCGAGTGTCGGCTGCAGACCCAGACTCTCATCAAGCCCGTCAAAAGAGCGCCCCTTGTAAAGCAAAACTTGCGAAGCCAGAGTACACAGAGCGAGAGAGCACCGGGCTCTTTATCTCCCAACAGAATGCAGGCCACGCGTATATTATTTGCAGAGGCGCAGAGAATATTCGGACTAATTTGCATTTTAATTGCGCGACGAAATTTGTATGTATATTTTCGGACCGGTCTCCACACGTATCGAATTTCGTAGAAAACAGTCGAGCCGGAAAGACCCTCAAAATATTTCGTGTGCATTTGTGCGATATTAAATTTCGCATCGGGAGGAAGAGCTGCTCGTTCGGGCGGTGCAGCCTTTGTTGAATATTTTATGCAAATCTGCACACCTGAGAGAGGAAGTTCGCGGAGACGTGCGTTTGGATAAGCATCGTGTGTTGGCGTGGATCGTACACGCCAATACCAACAACAGACGCACGCAAACACACACACCCTGCCGCGGCTGAGAGAAAGAACGGATCGTGCAATCAAATAATGTGCTCGACAGACAGAAGAGGACTCGCCGACGAGAGCGCAAATTCGGCCGGAGCAAATTGCTAGACAACGAACGGCGCTTTTCTCAAGGGCTCTCACCGTACCTACAGATCGATAACATCTTCTCACGATTTGTGTTATTTTTATTCTCGTGTTAAAAGATAATTAAAATTCCAAACTGTGAGAGTTAATTGGCCCCGATTTTATAATCAGTAATAATTTATTTAACAATGAAAGAATTTTTGATTAGCAAAGAAATTTTAAAACTTTTAATGATAAAGTTGTTCCTTTTTTTCATCCCAAATCCTGATTTTATATTACATAAGCATTAAAACTTGTAAAATAAAAAAACACCATAGTGTCAAAAGCATAACCATTTAGGTTTGTGATAATTGAAATAGAATATAACACATATTATAATAAAGCAATAAAAGCAATGCCAATATTGATAAAATAAAACAAAAAGTATTATTAATAACACATGTGTTAAAAAGTAAAATGCAGGTAATAAAAAATTTTAGTTCAATTTAATTTTCAAAAGTTTTTTGCTTCATTATACAATAAAATCAGTTATCACTTATTCTTTTTTTTAAATTTCAAAGTTTCAGAAAGTTAAATTAAATGTTTTCCGCTCAAAAGGAGAAGATCTCTTCTCAGTAATATTATTCAAATTTATTTTCTAAGCTGAAGTCGACGTGAAAAGTCAACAAAGAATTTCTCTTCACTATAAAGAGCATAGCATAAATAAATATAGTGCACTGTTATTGAAAGTGAAGAGTGCTGAGCGCAACGAGGCGTGTCCTAGAAAGGTATTTCTCTCTTATTTCTCGCCGGCGCTGCTTGATTGATAAACTGCGCAAATAGGCCACGCAGTGCATACGAAGTGTGTCACAGGCTGTTTTTCTCTCTTTCCATCGCTCTTCTTTCTGCGAAATGTTCGCTCTGCTCGCGCCCCCTTTGCATTATGCGACACACAAAGGCGCGCGCGAGAGAAAGATCTATCTCCGGTGATACATTCTTATGGGATTTCAACATTGGCCTCTGCTCGGCGGCAAAAGGAATCACACTGAGAGCTGTGCAAAGGAAAGGATTGCGTGTTCGGGATTTGTGTTTACATTTTGCGCTGGAGGATACGAAAAATCACTCAACCTCAACTGTGATTGAAAGGGAAAAAATTCCAGTCAATTTGATTTGCAACCTTTTTTGATAACACATCCTTTCTGGATCAAAAATTATTCACTAAAATAAATTGGGGATATTTCAAATTGTGTTCTTTAAGGGCAGGGCAGGATTTTAAGTTGGATGGTCGTTTCCTCACCATGCTTTGGCATTTAATGCACAACATAACGATGCAACTGGAGATGAAGAAATGGCACAAGACACTGATATTTCTCTCGGCTTGCATTGCCTCTCAACAATAATGACTTGAATGCTCAAGTTCCTCTCCGTTGTCGCTTTGTTTGGTGTAGTGAAAAATAAACAAGAAAAAGCAGGAGGGAAGCGTGAAGATATAAAAATAACTCGTTTCTCGGAATTCTCTCTGTGCAATTGAACCCTGGAAATGCGCACTAAGTGACATTTGATATCATCCAGTTCGTTCCAATTGTTTTGATGCAATTCGATCCACGATATGAAATTACATTTTAAATTGAAAAGAAGAAAATTGAATCGATTTCAAAAGATCAATAGTGGCTTTATTTTTCATAAATCAAAATGCGTTTTAATATTAAATAAGTTACCACAATACTGAATTAATTAACCAAAATAAATTTTCATTTAAATTCCTCTATCTAGAGACTTTGTGTTTGTTTCTGTCGGAATCATACATATTAATTATTATTCTATTCAGTCTTAATATTATAATGGATAATGCATTTTTTTTTTTAATAATAAATTATATCTTTTGATTACAACTTTCAACACACTGTTTGAAACTTATTTTCACGCTTGCCCGAGTGTTAATAATTATTCTCGGAGCAAACACCACATTGAAAAAAAGTACGTCTCCACTTCGCGAGCTATGCAACCTGTTCAACAACCGTGTCCAACCGGTTGCATTTGTACTCCCACACTGCGATGCAGCTCGGCAAACTTTTGCTGGCTTGAATTTTATTTATTTGGTTTCGTCGTCGGATAAATAGACGGCCGCGGCTGCTGAACAAATAAATTATGCATCACGTTGCTAATGAATTAATCAGACGCGGGCGAGTGAGTAGTGGCCGGGAATGAAATGCATCAGGTGAAAGAGAACGGGCGCGCGCCGCGACGAGTATTGATTTGCGGGAGACCCTCATCAATGGAAAATATATACAGCGGCAAACGCCTCCGCCGGTGATTAGATGGAAAGCTAAAAGGGAAACGCGGGCAGGAGCTTCTGGGAATGAAATGAAAAAATGTTAAATTTAATGTGGCAAAAATGTTACACTTTTGTTGACGAGATTAAAAAAAAACATTTAACAAGTCGCTTTCTTTAAATTGAGTAATATTAAAATTACAAATATAATTATAAAATACTATCTACTAAAACGTTAAAAAATAATCTTTTAATATTTTAAATTTTACAATTGTTTAAATAAAATAAAATTATTTATTTAAAATTCTTTATTTCAAATTAAATAATTAAATAATGTAATATTACATTAAATTCTTTTTCGTATTCCATGAACCCAATAAACCTATTTTATAAATAAAAAAATTTTTATAAATAATCAATAATAACATAATTTTAAGAATTAATTGGAGGGTAAAACGTATATGAAGCAAAACTGTAGATTTGTTAATTATTTAAAATAAAAAATTTAAATTTTACACATTAAATTTGTTTATATTTCCTTCAATCATGTGTTGGAAAACAAGGT